AGAAAAAAACTTTGTCTATAAAATAGTAAAATATTATTGAAATTAGATTGATAGTTATTGAAATATTTGTATAGAAACACAAACACTTACCAAATTTATCAAAATCCTAAAAATAAAGTTAAATAACTTGCTAATTATGCAAGTATATGATCTAAAAATGATATGATATAATCATCAAGAGATAAAGTTTTATATAGTCAATTCAAGGACATAGGTTAATTAGTAAGTTTTTGAGTTATAAGCCAAGTCTTTAAGTGTAAAAATATTTTTGTCACCCTATGTATAGAATACGATATTATGATCTAAAGCATGACGATAGTCATGCTAAAGTTATTATTATGAGGATCTCTTGTGATATCCCAAAACAGTTGTGCAACCATGAAGAATATTGCTATTTAAGGGCCTAGTGGGATATTTTGGTCGTCAGTACCCTTTTCCTTCGCTACCTGACTTTGTTCTGACTTTTTCGTACTATGGTGCCTTTTATCTCTGTTTAGGAGCAAACAAGTATTAACAAACAACTATTAACAAAGAAACAAATAAAACAAACAAACAAACAAACAATGAATAAAATAAAACAAATAAAACAAATAAAACAATAAACCAAGCACAATACATAGCCTAAAAAAAAAAAAAAAAAAAAAAAAAAAAGAGGAAAAATACATATATAAATAAGCTACGTAAAATCATATCAGACTCAAATTTATTGAAAAGTAATCTTGAGGATATTTGTAAAATTCTTGGTTTATCATCCAAAGGTATAAAAGCAGATCTTATTCAGAGGCTGAGATTATACTCTGCAAACTAAACATCAAAATCAAGTGCCTTGGATCTCTAAATGATAGATATGAGGAAATAGATGATAGTGAAATTGGAAATATAGATGAAGTTAGTATAAAAAACTTGCAGACAATTGATTTAGAGGTTGGAAGGAAAGCTTCTAGATTCAAATTTTGAGAGAATGAGCCTTAAAAACTAAGTGTAACCATTCATTAGAACCAATGAACTAGTTTAGACATTCGAAACAAGCTCCCAAATGAACCTTCTCTCAAGAAAGACAACAAACGACACATGAAAAATAATACTAGAAATGATGATCCCAGCTCATTAAAGTATTTAATAATAATGGAGTTCAGGAACTTGAAGAATATAATGGCTGAGTTTGATCAAAAATTAAATTTGATAACTACACAGGTTTAAAAAGTAGAAAACAATGAAGCTTGGCCAAGTTAAAAGCTCAAAAAAGTGCAGAATCAATATGAATATGACTATTGTATATAATCAGAAGAGAATTAGATTTAGTAATAGAATCTTAATATGTAACAAAAATCATGAACTATATTTCGGAGGCTCGAGAGCTGGCTGCAGACAGGATATTTACTTTATGAGTAGCCGAAGATTTTAGATGGGACGTAGCTGCTGCCTTGCCAAATATGCAAGATAAATTATTAAAAGGAAAAGAATCTGTAATTGAAAAAGTGAAGTTATTAGCAGATGCAAAGAAAAGCAAAAGAAGGAAAATAAAAACTGCAATTCAGCCTGTCAATAACCTCTATGTAGGAAGTAATCACCAGAGTTAATATTTAAGCATACCATCAACAAACTATCAGAGCAACCATCAAAACTCTCTACATGTTCAAAGACAGTTTTTTCGATCAAGCTACTAGCCTCAAAGCTGGTTTACAAGCCAAACAAACAAGTACTATATCTGTGGGAGCATAGGACATTTTGTGAATATATGCTCTTAGACCCTTACAAAAATGCAAACCAACATAGAAGAAATGCAAATTATCGATCAAGGGATTATGCTTTTTACCAAAACTGCTATCAAAGATTCTGAGATGATAACAAGTACGATTACTACACTTGGACCCAACAATTAATACCGGTAGTAGGCCACCTATATTGGCAGAAGTATATAAATTATTGGAGGCAAAAAATCGAAGCACTGAAGCTAGTTTTGGGTTAGTTAGAAAATGGTATCCTCTATACTCAAGGAGACTGTTGGCTTTAATATTACATTCAGACCCACCTATACATGCCAACGAAATTATTTTGAGTTTCTGAGTATAAAATTAAAATTTGAAGATGAAATTGTTTTTGACCTATTTTACTTAAAAGATGAAATTTTTTGATATTTTTTTTGAAGAGACAAAATTATAAGGAACATAACTATCTAAATTAAATTTGCTCTTGCATATAAAAAATTCTAAATTGCTTTAATGGAGATGAAATAGGATTTTTTTAAAAACCTATTTTGGTGGCATGTATAGACCCACCACAATATACACTAATAAAGGTTTAATTGACCTAGTTAAATTTGGAAATAAGAAGGTTGTTAGAGATAAAGGCTATAACCTGGATTTCAAACTCACCAAACTACCCATCACACTTGCTTAAAGTAAGTTCAATATTCCTGACTCAAAAACTGGGCCTGACTTGTTATTGACCTCAGATGCCTGAACGAAACACTTTTGTGAAAATTATTCAAATTCGAAGAGTTTAAACCCTCTTAAGAATGATGGGAAAAGACTGGTGAGTGGTAGTTTCAGACTTAAAAGAGGGCTATCATCATATATTAATGAACTAGAAAATACAGAGACTATTGGGGTTTAGGATAGGCCAAATTTGATATCACTATTATATGCTACTATTTGGCCTGAGTCTAGATGTATAGACCTTCGCAAAAATAATACGACCACTTATAGAATACTAAAGAGTAGCAGAATCTTTTGTAAAAATCATCTTGATGATATATAGATCACATACTTGTTATAAGTAATCTTGACATATATAAGAGACTTGATAATATTCTAGAACCTAAAAAACTGTAAATTTGTTTTAGCAGAAAAGGGGCAACCACAACTGACCCAGTAGCCAAAGTTTTATAAGTTGGTTTTGAACACAATAATGGGACAAGTTATAGTGCCAAAATCCAAGATAGAAAAGGCTCTAACAAACCTTTGGAATCTCCTATCTACGAACTCTCTAATAATACGATATCTATCTGCAATAGTGGGACAGTTAATAAATCTGAACTGAGCCTTTGCATATATGAAAACTTATTATATAAAATTTTATACAATCATCAATACAGAAAACCAGAGATTGTGGGAGTGGAACAAGCTAGTATATCTAACATAACAAGCCTTTTAGATACAAAATGGATACAAGAAAATATAAAAGCAAAGAATGGCTACCTTGTATAGAAACTCTCTCAGATAATTCTATTGTATGTAGATGCCTCGACAACAGGTTGGTCAGCAATGGTGTGCGGACTACAAGCATTCAAAATTGGAAATACCATCACTGATATATGGATATTGCTTATCTAGAATTAACGGTAGCCTTGTTAGGCCTCGAATCCTTTACACATATCATCACCTATCATCGTGTCATGATATTCATAGACAATTATATGGCTTGAAAGACAGTAGAATCTGGTGGAAAATGGCAATAGCAAAGAGAAATAATGCGTCAAGTGTAGAACTTTTGTAATGAATATGATATACAAATTCACGAATTTCACTAAATACTCTTAGCATTAAATCTGGCAGACAATTTGATCTAATTTTTTGACAAATCTGACTGGAAAGTGGCTGGCAAAATATATGCCCAAATAAGTTTGAGGTGGAGACCATTTTTAGTAGACAGGATATTGAGTTATCAAATAAAGAAAGTAGAATGCTTCAATAGCTGTTTTTTCTGCTCAGAAGCAGAGGCAGTAGATTGTTTTTCTCAGAATTGGGGTATGGAAGCAACTATATGTACCTCCCATTAAGTCTAATTTAAAGAGTATTCAAATATGGTGCTCAATCCTAAGCCAAAGTCATTATGATCATATCAGTGTGAATATCAGCTACGTGGTGGCCAACTCTTCTATAAAAACAAACTAAGGTAATGGATCTTCTACTAGCAGTGCAGACTTTCTTACCAAACCCAGGAAGCAATATGTCCTCGAAATCGTAGAGAAACCCATATTAGAGATTTCAGGCTATATCAAAAAAGTTTTATAACAATTCAGGATATAAATAAAAAAAATTAATATATATATATAATGATAAGGTTCAATATAATTATAACTAAATTGGTTAAATATTAAGAAAGTTGTTAGTTAGAATATACTGAAGTTGAACTATACTATTAAATTGTAACTAGCCTTGTATTTTTTGTAACTTCATCTTTTTATATTTGCTTATTATATAAAGTTTTTTTATATCAATATTATATTTTGTTTTACCTGTTTTTATAGTTTTAACTTCATTTCTATTATATACCTTGAATTATTAATTATATTTGTATAATTATAAGTTTTCTATTTCATACTATATAGTGTCTAAAATCTGCAATTAGCAATATTGCCCAAATCTGAATAGAATAATTTAGAACTTTTTACTTAGTTTAGATTTAGGAATTGATATTTATTGATATTTCTAACACAATTTAAAATACAAACTAGCGATATAAACCAAACCTGATAGTTTGAAGTTTAGTAGATTCCCAAAGATTTTTACTAGATTTGATGAGAATACAAATAAATTGTCTAGTAATGCAGGAGAATTATTTTTACAATTGTAAAAATAGTTCTCCTGCACTATCATATGTATCACATTTGTTTTATTTTGTATTATATTTATTTTGTAGAGGTAATTTGTTATTGAGGTTTGGGATATACAAAAATAACCAGATACTAGTTTAGGTATTGTATTGAATTAGAAATTACAACAATAGTTAATCTTTAAACCCAAATTAGGTAGAAAGGCCTAATTGTTCTATTTGGGTTTGGTTTACATCGCTATTATATACCTCTATATCTGAAACAATTCGATTCTATTGCTCTTTTTAAATTTTATATACAGGACAGAATAAGCATAAGAAAATTAGTTTTAAACTATTGCAGTTATTATTAGATTCAATTTTGTATATGTTGCAAATTTGCATGAAATTGCATATATAAAATTATTTTAATTATATATATATTATTTTGATTATATTGTAGTTCTAACAAAGTTAGCTAATATTGTGCAAAATTTGAAATTTACCTTCTTCAAATATATATATACATATGTACTAAAATTGCCATGAATAAAATTTAGCAAAATCAAGATTTTATTTTTGCAAAGATTTTTGCTAATGCTTTTCTTTCTTCAAAAATCTACTATTAGCTAAGATATTATATACAAATCTTAATCTTGAATACAACTATACTATCTACATTTCTAATGTTTAAAAGTTAAAAAAATTTTAAAAATTTTTAGCATAGTTATACAATATTTGTCAAGCACCAATTGTATTTACGCTATACTGCTCAAATTCTTCATTTAATAATTTTTCTAAATGTTTTACTAAAATTTGTTGCTTTTCAAATTCATGCAAAAAATTTTAATAATAACAATTAGTTCCTTCCTTTTCATCTACTAATTTTAAAAACTGTCATTATTAGCAAGGTAGTTGAAAAACATCTATTTACTTGAGGTTGAAATGATTGTGCTTGATACAGATTAAAAGATACTATAAATAGATAAAATAATAAAGATCTGTAAGTTCAATTGTTGTATAATGATGTTTATGATAGTAGTGAAACAAATGATGTTTGTGACAAAGTCTGTAGTGGTGGTAAAACAAATAATATTTGTGAAAAAGCTTGTAGTAAAGCTTGTAATAATAGAACTAATAGAGCTTGCAACAGTGATAACGAAGACATTAGAGTTTGTGATAATGGTTCTTGTGAAGAAGATATTGGAGTTTGTAATAATGGTTCTTGTAAAGATAAAATAGAAGAGTATGATTTTTTAGACATCTTGGAATGAAGAAAAGAGGATAGTTGGGGTCTTTGACTATAGCTAATTCTTTATTCTAAATATATATATACTTGTAAATAATATTTAAAAATATAATATCATAATTTATTTAACAATAGATTTACTATATCAGATACCTATATTAAAAGCATTATAAAGGTAATTTCTATATATAAATCTTTACTGCTTTCTTTGTTTAGACAAGATTAGTTGCATATATTACAATAATATTTTTTTGAATTTCTAGCATATTTTTAGCAATTGCTTAATCATGTATAGATAAGAATAAAATATGTGGAACCTTATTCAGTATTAAAAATTTATTATTTTTACAAAAATAACAATAGATTATGCAATATATATAAAAAATAAAATAATATTTTATATATAAAAAATATTTGCACAATATAATTGTGCAGAATTTTTAAAACTGACCTTATTATTATTTTTGTAGTTGGCTAAAGATTCTTTTTTTTTAACAGTATTAGTATTTAAATCTACTTCTTAAATTATTTTATATATTTACATAGTAATTATTATTTAATATATATATATTTAGTAACAATTATATTTAACAAGTTTTTTTGTTTTATTTGAGTTAACTTCATGATTGTTATATAAATCTTAATACAGTTGATACTGTCTAAATGCATATGGTCGGGAAAGACAAAAAAAATTGATTTTATGCATTTATACCATATTAACCAATCAGATATCAGAAAACTAACTGTCTAAATGCATATTACTAATAATTTTTTTAAAAAAATTATGCATTTAGACAGTATGCAGTATGCATTTAGACAGTATCGACTGTATCAGTATTTTTTTCAGCTAGCTTTATAAATTTAGCTTTAAATTTAATAAAATTCTATACATCTGCTAATTGAGTACTAGCACCAGCATTGCTTTATATCTTAAATACTATGCTATAATTAGTTGGTACAAGTATATCATCTTTTGTAAGCATAACAATTTTATTATGAATTGAAGAAAGAAATTCATCAATAGCTGATACTGATTCTTTAAACCATTTTGCTAGTAATAAAAATCCTTCTGCTATTTTTACAATTAGTTTGTAACTTATTTCAAATTTATTATTATTATTGCTACTAATTAGTTCATTTCACTGGATATTATTGTTGATTGATTTTCTAAATAAAAAAATAATATAAATATAAATAATTATATATCAACATACAGGTTGTTCAATAGAAAAAGAGAAAAATCTTTTAAATATAATCAATTTAACTAGATCTAAAAAAGAGATTTTTCTTTTTTCTATTAAACAGTGTCTATATAATATCAAAATAAATTACATTAGTATTAGCTATCATATCTGTTGCTATATTTGTTAATATGTTATTAATATTAGTTATAATATCTGTTGCTATATTTATTGATTGCTTATTGGTATTATCTGCTACCATATTTGTTGATAGGTTTTTAGTTATCGTGGAATTTAACTTGAGCAAAATACTATAACATCAGCTATATAAAGAAAACTTAAAAGATTTTCTTAATTGATTTGATAATTATGTTTTATAACCTTTTTATAAATATATTCAAATTTTGGTACTGCCCAAGTAGATTCATAAGTTCGCAAATATGTTTGTTTAACTTTGCTGGTCCTGTTTTTCTTATTTAGCACCAATTTTTTATAATTGCAGGTATATTGACACAAATTTGTCACATAATATAAGTATTTGTAGTATCCAAAACATGTTTCATACTGATATTTGAGGTTTGTATTTTTAGTATCTGCTATTAGATGTTGACTAATTTTGAAAAAAGTAAAAAATTTTATTAATTTTACAATTTTTTTATATTTATATTTTAATTTTAGATTTCTGATTTCCAAATTTCTGGATTTCTAATGATGTATAATGTATGAAATTTGATGATCACAGTAATTTGAAAAGTGCTATAAATTTTCATGTGCTGTTTTTTATAGTTTTAACAATTCCAGAAAATATAATTTTTTAGAATTATCAAGCAACTCTTTTGATAGTAACAAATTTTTTTGAATTTATTTATTTTATTTTTGAAATTTATCAATGTATTCATAAGCCAATTTTTTATATTGCTAGTTTTTGGAATTAGTTTGGTATATATATCTAATTTAATAATTTAATAATTTAATATTATATATGTATTATGGTATTGAATAATTTATTATAATTTAATTTACTATAATTTTATTTATAGATCTTACTTCAATACTAGCTCTAACAATAACTTCATTTATATAGTTATATGATGAAAAACTATATATTTGGATTGTGGCTATTTCTTTTTTTTTACTTGAAATTAGACTTTTATTATTTTTTTGTACTTTGGAATATTTTAAAAAATATTTTGCAATTATTATTAGTATAGTACAACAAATATTTTTATTTTTTGTTGTTTTGAATATTATAGTTTTAGCTATTGTCTATTTTTTATATCTTTTTATTAAGACCTACTAGTAAATATTCTTATAATCAGCCAAGTAATATTGACAATGCTAATAATCCTTGAAATTTTGTTCCAAAATATAAGTTTATTTCATTTAATAAAGAATCAATACTTATTAAAACACCTTATAAAAATACAAAATTATTTACGATATTTAGTACTTCTATTTTAGCAATATATTTTATATTAATGAGTATTATTTAATAATAATTTAAACATTTTATATCAAAAAATAATAATGTTTTTATTATTAGACAATACAAGTGCAGTTACTTCATGAGGTTTAGTCAATAACTAGACTTTGATATTTTTATTTTTATATTTTCATTTTTTACAATAATCTATTTATTGAATCTGTTTATTTCATTACTTGGAAATACTATTAATTGGTGATTTGCCAGTCACCTGATGCATGATCATAGTATAACATAACACAGTTCACTATATAAATCACATCTACCTCAAATATGGTATTTGTTCAAGAAAAACTTTTTTTGTACTAAGTTAATTGCTCTTCTATATTAAGTTAAAATTGTAGAGCCATTGAGACACATCTAATGGTGTTTAGATCATTCAAATTGGCCCAGCTGATAGTGAGATATCATCAAAAAATGATTGGCTAACTATGTAAAATTCTATATAAACAAACTATTGTTTATATAGAAAATTTACATAGTCAGCCAATTGTTTTAGCAATATCTCGACAACTACTAGGCTGATTTGGATGATCTAACTACCGTTAGATGCACTTTGACGAGCTCTACAATTTTGACTTAATACAGAAA